CTTATTGTTGTGTGTGATTCGATTAGTAGGTGCAAGCAAGCATTTGAGTCGAAGTTTATCCATTCCTTTTACCCAAAGTGGGATAAAAGCGATATCTGTGGGCCTCTCGATGATTTAGTGATGACACCCTAAGCGCTTGGCCAAGCCGGGACTAAGTTGATGTGTTCAATTGTAGTCTGTTGTCAGTCGTCATAAATCGGAAGTCGGGAAACAGTATAGAGAGAATGATCAAATTCATGTCTTGTGTCTATACGATATCTTGAGAATGGAGGAATATATAATCCTTTATCTAAAGGACACGCGTATCTGATAAGATCAGAGTTGACAGCGGCTTTTGAAAGCTACGATTGCTGATCAGGTTCTGAAGTTATACAAAATAGTTATTAGACTTATCCAAGTGGGAGACTGTTGGATTAGTGTCTAAGTCCATAACTATTTTGGTATGTACTTGACCCGATTATGAGCATGGTCCTTTTGGGTTGCCTTCACCATAGCAATATGTAGGATGAATTAAGGAGAGAAAGGTTTAATTATGATTTATTAATATATTATGAGAATAATATATTAAAGGAGAAATCATATTGGTTAATTAATATTAGTCAAGAATTAATAAAGAATTAATTCTGTGGCTAAAAGAGATTAATTAAACTTGGGGGACTGGAATTGTAATTATAGGATAATTGCAATTGGGCTATGGATCACCTTGGAATAATAGGTTGGACGAATTCTATGGGGAAGCCCATTAGAAATCGTCCAAGGCATGTTCCAGAAGGGGTCCATGGGCTGCTTAGGGCTTAAGTAGTCAAATTAGGGTTTCCTTGTTAGATAACCCTAATTGCCTACCTATTTAAAGAACCCTTGAGACCCAAAAACGTGGCTAAGTCTTCCTTTAGGGTTTCCAGCCGTTTTTGGTGTCTCCTCTCTCCTCCCTCTTCATCCAAGTTGCTTAGTGGTGTTTGTGACTCCATTAGAGGTGCAACACTTGAGGCACTAAGCTTTCTGAAGCCAAGGAATTGATTGTTATTGCTACATAACAATCAAGGTAAGATCTGAACCCTAGTTTATATGTTAATTTGATTAATTGTGTGCTAGATCTAGGGTTTATAAGTCTTGGAAGTATATTGCATGTTCAAAGTAGAAAACCTAGATCCAAGCAATTAGGGTTGCATGAACACCATAGGATTGATGTTATGCTCAAAACCCATCATATATATATAGGTTGGGTTCATGGTCGGTGGTGGGGTCCACCAGCCGTGAACGGTTAACGGCCGTGATCGGGTTCACGGTCGTGAACACTAATCAGACCGGATTCCGCATGATTTTGGTTCCGACTCTTATAAAAACGATCTTCTAAACCATAAGAATCTAACGGAACAAATAAAATTCAAAATTTATTCAACGGAATCGAGCTAACGTTAACGGAAAAAGGTTCGGGTTGTCACACCTTCGACCCGCCAAACACTGGTAGGAGACTCACCTCACAGTCAGACGAAATACTGCAACCACACATTGCTCCAAATACCAACTCTACCGATCACCTTTACAATAAATAATGACTAATACTCAAACAACAACTCAACATACCTAAAATACCATTAGGTAAACTTAGTCAAAATCTTGGTCAAGTCGAAAGTAAAAAAGTCAAAATGTCAAAAGTCATCCGAGTTGAATCAGCTGAGTACGCCCAACGTACTCAGCTTGTATGTTTGGCGTACTCAAGATCCACCAGCGGGCCACTCATCACGTACGCACGACGTACGCCAATGTACGCCCAGCGTACGCTGGCTAACTTCACTTCTTCTGTTTAAGAGCTTATTCCATTAAGTCTTTTTTACCAAAAGCAGATCTAGTCCTGAAATAACATCTTAAGTCATAAAGTCTCCAACTTTATGAATTTTCATGGCTAAGAAGTGCTCAATACCAAAAACCCTAACTTCTTAACTCATTAACACATACTAGAACATGCATAGAGGAAAACTAAGGACAAAGATTACATTTTTATGGTTCCTAATAAGTTCATAATGGATAAAGTTTCCAACTTTATCCATTAGAATTGTCCAATCAACCAAGATCTAGTCTTTAAGTCTCAAAGGGACCAAAAGTGCATCTTTTTCAACTTAATCCATTAAGTCCAAGTCTCAAACCTTTAGATCTGAATCAATATGATGTTTAGACGGATAAAGTTTCCAACTTTATCCATAACAAGGTCACAAACTTTCAAGATCTAAACTTTATGCATTAAAGTGACCAAAAGCTCATAACACCCAAGACTAGCTAGATCTAACAAATACAACATCAAGATTCAAGCTTTATACCTCTAGAAGAAAGATCAAGGTGAACAAAGTCTGGATCTACAAGCTCCAATGCAACCAACACTTCCACAATGAGCTCCTTCTTCTCCAAGATGCACCAAGAACACTCCAAAGCACTTTAAAACACCTTCTTTTTTCTCACAAGGCTCAAACTAGGGTTAGGGTTTCAAGGGAGGGTGTTGACGAAGTGGAGGCTGAGAATGGAATGGGTTTGGGGAAGTTAAGGAGCTTAAATAGGGCTCAAACCACGAAAATAGGGTTTGGACACTGATCGCGTACGCCCAACGTACTAGACTAAGCCCGAAACCTTCCTAACTTCAAACGATCATAACTTCTTCGTTTCAACTCCGATTTTGACGATCTTTATATCCGCTGAAAGGTATTGAATAGCTTTACAATACTATCTAAATATCTTGGACTAAAAACTTCTCGAACAAAAATCCATATTTCATGCAAGAACTCTTGGATCTAGGCTAAACCTGCCTATGACGTTTCCCGTTCTACCCTTCGGCCCAAAACACAAACTGAACTCTTGGATCACATAATCTACATTACCCACATCCAATTGGGTCTAAACCTCTCTTTCCCAAATACTGAAGCCTTATGATACTTGATCTTCGGGTCGCGGCCCCGAATTATGAAATGACTTGAAACTGGGTGTTACACAAAGATATGAAATCCTATCTATGGTCTTCAATATAGGCTAGGGTTTATGATTGTTTCAACAATATATTGCTATAATTTGTACATACGTAGATCTCTAGATTGCATGTGCCCATAATTAGATTTTATGATAATTTCGTTGTGCAAATATGTTAGATGTAACCTAGAAAACCCATCAAAATGATCCATATGTCACCCCACCCTTCTTTTCACCATCCCCTAGTAAATCATCCACTATATCTCCCCACTTTTGAGTTTCTTTCACCGCATCTCCTTCCTCTTCAAGAGAATCATCAACCAACTAGCTATTTACATGAGTTTCATTTAGATCTTGCCAAATACATTGATCTTTCTAAGGCATTGGACCTTTAGGATTGGTTTTGGGAGGTATATTATATTGTTCTTTATTAGACAATAACTCCTCATTCATCTCATCATCAGAATTCAATTGGCTTGGCGGATCAGACTTCTGAATCGTTGGATCCCTTCCTGTAATTTCAGGCACCTTAATCATATCAACAATAAATTGTTTTAACTTCATCTTTATACACACTCAATCCATATTAACATCATCATCCCAATCATCGTTAATAAACATGACTTCACCCCACCTCACAACTACCTTTTTGAATGTTTGTGATGACCAAGCACACAAAGGAAGTCCATCTATTTCAATCCACATCATACGATCCTCAACAATAAAGTTTTTTTGAAATTGACCTAAACTCCTTGAAGTACCAGTTATTGTCTTCATGTTGAATAAACTTTTTGCAAGCACACTATGCTTTTGAATTCAATTTAAATGCATGTAATCTTCCCATACCCTTTACAAGCTGTTCGCATGTCTTTTACATTCACCGATTCATGGAAATTTGTCACAAATACCAACTTTAGCATCGATTCCACCTTCTTCCGATTAGTGTTTACTATTCGGTTATTGTTTACTCCAAACATCCACAATAAAGTTATCATTTTTGCAAGAGATGCAACATAATTTGAATTGGCTCATTCATAAATAAAAAAGTAAAACTTATCATCTATGCTTATGTATACTTATTGTAAGTTCAAAACATGATTGATTATTATGGGTACATTATAATTTAACATAAAAGTTATATATATATATATAATGAAACAATACTTATTGTTTTTTCAACTGAAAATGACAGATTATCGTATAGACGTATACATTTAGATAATTTAAAAAATAAATATTGGAATTAAACAATAATTGCCCAAAATATTAGGACTTTATTGAAGATTTCCATCAAACTATTCGAAAAAATCAAGGGGTACAATTGTCAATTTAGCAAACCCAGGGCACGAGAGTGCTTCTTGTTTTAAGTTGAGGAGGGGCTTGAGCATGCTTGTTAAAAAACTGAGCAATTATTCTTTTATTTCTCCCTTCCTTTCCAACGATCTCCTGTCGAGTGCGTCGCCGTCGACAGAAGGTAATATCTAGCGTCTCGCTCTTTGTTTTTATATAAAATTGTACCTGAATCCTGACTGAAGATTCCTCAAAGTTTTCGTTATATGTTCTAATTTCATATAATTCATGCTTAGATCTTCTTTAGGTTTAATGCCGTGCATTTATCTTTTGAATGCATCCTTGCTATAAATATTTTATTCATAAGAAATAATCATAGAAAGTTTTGTGAGGATATGTGACGAATTGTGCCAGACCTACATTGTTAGATTTGTTTCTCTATTTGAATTTCAAATTTAGCATTTTATTTCCATTTCTGCATATTGTGATACGATGATTTGGTCGTTGTGGAGTCGATGTTATTGATGAATTAGGTGATAGGTAGACACGAGACTCTGATAGGAACTTCTAAGATCCGTATCTTCTGAGATAAGTGTGGTTAAAATTGCTGAATGAATGCAAATATTCAATTCGTTTTAATCTCAGAATTTCAGCAATAATCGTTTAGCTATGAAACGCAAAAAGCAGATTCTTATAAACATATCAACAATCAGTTGAATCAAGCAATAAAATGCAAGTTTTAACAAAAGAGGTACAGTGACCCATCAACTTTACGCTATAATCCATCTAAAAGACCAATTTTTAGGGAACTTGACACATTGCTCCAGGTAATTAAACACTTGAAAAGAATTCTCCTGCATAAAAACGTCAATCATCCCTACTCCTTTAGTCCTTTTTCCCTTTCTTTGGTTCACCCAAAACATATTCTACATACAAATCCTTAAGAGCAATAACAACAGTTGTTATCAAAGGCCCCATTATCGCTCCCTGCATCATCAAAATTCAACAGTAAAGAAGTGATATTAAATTAACACGAAGCATATTCTAAATTTCTAATTGTTGTTTATTAAATATTAATATTACCTCCAATGCAGATGGGAATAATGCAACTCCACCAATGATGCTAAGGCCAGTAAGATACGCACTATGACCAGGTATGTCTTCTTGAATCTCAGTAGTACCATAATCCATAAGCAAAAGATGAATAATGGACAAACAAACAGCAACAACATATCTCCCTTCTAAAACCAATTGCAATGCAGCTGGAATTGTGGAGAAGAAATTTGGAAATATCGGGAGTAAAGGGTTGATAAACGCAAGAAATGTCGACATGTACAAAAAATGAATATTAAATAATCTAAACAAAAGCCAAGTAAGACAGCCTTGAAAAAACGCAATCTCAGCTGTAGCTAAAAGAACCCCAGAAATAGCTTTATCAAGAACCTCAACAGCTCGTGTTCTAGCAGATCTTGAAATAGGAATCATGTACATAACTTGTTCAGTAACCCCACCTGCATCTGATGTTATCAAAGAGTACAAAACCCCTGTGAAAACCATTGATTGGGACACAAAATTTAAAATACCAGCTGCCCCTGAAACAATGGATTCAACAACTACAAAAACAAGCTTTGTACTACCACCAACAATGGATTTACTACTTGCAAGAACACGTTGAAGAATATCTTTTCCTTGAAAAGCGATTGCTTTTGCGTTCTTGATCATATCTTCCCTATTGACACGCACATGCGCGTCTTTGAACAATCCGTTTACTTCTGGATAAATCTCTGCCCATTCCCGATTTACAACTTTTTTTGTCAAAGTTTGTATCTTTTCTGTGTATGGGTTTCGGATTGCTATTGCAGTTGAAGGTGTGGATGAATTCGAGGGGTTTATAATACGTGGTATGATTATATGTTTCATTTCTTGAACGATTTCAGTCACGTTATACTGCATTGCTAAAGTATCGATTTGTACATTTACAGTTTCATAAAATTGAGTGCTGTATTTATCCACCATTAATGGCACATTGTTGTCATCCATCCATTTTTTTAACCCGATTCTCTCAGCTATATTGTTTTTTTCCACATGGGTTTTTATGGAATAAACCACATCTTTTCCTTCAACTCCAATTTTGTATGAGAAAAGCAGGGTCCCAGTTAGAGACCCCACAATCATACCAACAATCAATCCGATAGCCACAATTGTCTCCAGTTGATTCAAAATCCGGCTGGTGAGGAAAGCTGCATGCCGATTATGGTTCAAAGTACGACCTCCAAAGGAAGAAACAGCAGCCATGGTGGATTTCGCATGTCTGGATGTAAACATAAACCCTAACGCTAACAAAGTGATGGCACCAAGAACACCAAGTTGCTCGTAAGCCATTACAAAAACCCAAAACGACACCAACCATCTCAATAAAATTGAAAACCCGCTTCGTTTTCGCTTCACAACATCTCTTGTCTTCTTCTTACGAAGGATTAGTTTATATAAAAATTCTCTAATCTCAACGAGACTCCCGATGAAAACTCTATACACGGATACAGGTATAGCTAGTACAGTTTCTGTAAGACCTAATTCCAAAGGTTCAGACCAAAACGAAACTAGGGATTGCTGAATTCCTCGAAGAGGAATCGAACAAAGAACAGCCCAGAGAATCGGGCGGAGATATTCTTCAAGTAATTTAGAAACGCCGTAGATAATAACAATAGCAAAAACTAAGCCGGCGTGTGCCATGGCTATGTATAGTGCGAGACGAACCTGAGAGTCGCCGGAGAGAGAAGTGGAGTCATCCCTATCCGGATTGGTGGTGGATTCCGGCGGTAACTGAGGTTGGGGTTCGGGAGATGGATCTGGTTGGCGGGTGGAGGCTGATCGGAACATGTCTTGCCACGGCGGTGAGGTGGAGGAGTTGGAGTTGGAGTTGGTGTTAGGATCAGAATAAGGCACCAGCTCCATTTTTATAGTTTAAAATTAAAGTTGGAATCTGTGATACACAGATATTGTGAAGATGACCCAAGCTACAGTGAACAGGATGAGTTGGAAAGTTTTGACTTCTAAACGCACGATACACGTGCTAAACGGGGATAAAGAAGTAATAATTGCATTTTAAGCCTTGAGAAAATCTTAAAAGCTGTTTTGGTTCATATGTAAGTGATGATTTTCGTGGAAAACATACATCAAGTAATTTAGTATACCTTGTAAGAGTGGGGAAAAGTCGATACAGTCTGGTCCATGTTTTTTCTTTAGAAAGATAAGATTTGAAAACAATTTACTTAATGATAATCAAATCAAAACAAAATTATTATTATATTGATTTTGATATCCAAGCTTTTGTTGTTTTTAGAGCAAATCCATGTGAAAGACATGCAACTTTTAGGGGGTGGTTTATTTTCGCTTTCTTTCATCAATAGGTAATACTAGTAATATATTTATCGATAAAATGCTACATATATTGAGCATAATAACCGAGCGGACCGACCCGGTCCGTACTGAAACCAGAACTGGATCGGACCGAATTACACATGTTAGGATTGGTTCGCGGTTCCACTTATATCTTTCTTTTGGATTTCGGTTCCACCGGGTTTGGTTTTTACCCATTACAGACCTGAATTTTAAAAGGCATTTAACTTTTAAACCAAGATTTATGTCCCGCTAATTTTAAAAAAATCGTCAAAGTCCTTGTGCCACCTGTTGTCGACGTCGACTTCCAAAACCCCAATTTTTTTGCTTTTAGTGAAACCTTAGTTTTTAACCCATATAACTTTATGCCAGGATGTAAAGTTATCCTCAATCTTGTACCAATTTCTCCGTCACGCACTTTTTTGCTTTTTTCAGTTATTATTCCGCCAATCTTGCAACAATTTAATACTGAAAAAAGTATAAACCAAAATTTGCATCCTGCAACAATTTATATGGGTAGTTTCGCATAATGATCAAGAATAAATTGCTGGAAAAGGACTAAACCATGATCAAGAATCTTTCTTTCCTTCCCTGTTCGTGGACTAAACTACCCTTATAAACCCAAAAACGTATAAACCAAAATTTATATCCTGTAATATGTTCAAATTCCTTTTAGAGTTTTAGTGAAACCTTAACCCCAAACAAACCAAATCAAGAAAATACTTTTTGTTTAATCTCCAAAGTATAAACCAAAATGTGTTAGTGTCAACCCTTAAATCATGATCAAGAATCTATGCTACAGTTTCATTTTATGGTTCATAACTTTTGATGTGAAAATTGAGTAACATATGGAGGTCGTTATGTGAAAACCGGGTTTGCGGGTATTGGAACCGAAAAACCCGAACCGGAACCGATTATCATATGGTGGTCCGCAACGGCGAATCTAGAATTTAAACTTAGGTGTGTCCAACATGAATAAAACGACAAAATAAACGGGTCATATGATTTTGATAATCGAGTTGGATTGTAATAAAACTAGAGACAATTACAAATCTAGTTATTTTCCTTAATTACTTTTCATTTAATAGCCAAAAATTAGCCTTTGGCCAAAAATAACTATCAAAACCGTACATAATTAGCGAAAACTACTATTTTAGGGAGAAAACTATGAAACTAGAAAAACTCTCACCATGGCGGCTCCGACTCCGAACAACAACCATGTATTTTCTCGTATTCTTCATTTTTTTTGTTTTTTGTTGTATAGTATGAAATCTATTAGCAATAGTTAAAAAAAATTGTAAAAAACGAAGAAAAAACGGAAACCGTAGGTTTCGTAAGTCACCTACGGTGTACAAGTTGTTAATAATTAAAAGCTTATACACCGTAGGTGACTTCCGAAACCTACGGTTTCCGGTTTTTTTTTCACCTACGGTTTGGGATACCGTATGTTATAGAGCATACCGTAGGTGAATTTTTCACCTACAGTTTCATATGTAAAAATGAAAAAAAAAAAAAAAAAGTTATATTTAATTTGGCTATTAAGTGAGAAGAGAAGTAATTAGGAAAATTTGTTAGATTTGTCATTATCTCATAAAACTATCTAAAACAAGCATCGTATATGTTACCTTTCACTTTTTTTTTTTAAGTTGATATTTTTCTCATCTTACATATTATTTTATCCTATAGTTTACAAATTTAAAAGATTTAAAAATAGATTATGTATCTAAAAAAACTTATTTAATGTTTGTTAACTTTTTTTTTTGTTTCTTGCCTTTTTTATTTGATTTTTTTTTCTCTACATATTATCTTCTAACCTCCTCTCTCTCTCTCTCTCTCTCTCTCTCTCTCTCTATATATATATATATATATATATATATATATATATATATATATATATATATATATATCAGATACTATTGTATAAAAAAAAATACAAAACAATCTTTAATTGTTTGTTTTGTGATCACTAGTGTCCACCTAGATTGTTAATATGGGTCTATCTTGATTTTCTTATATAAACAATGAAAAACTTTACAAGCTCGAGGGTGTCCACGGACACCCTTTAATTCGCAATAGCATCGGTTCTTGCTTTGGGCTCCTTCGGTTTTGGTTCTAACCGGTTTGGAACAGAGCTCATCCCTGTATGTCTGCTATTTTTTTTCTATACCTAGTGAATCATCTTAATAACCATTTTATTCTTACATTCTAAAAAACAAATTTCATAATTTTCATCAATATTAACGGTATTCATAATATTTTACATGAGAGGAGTTTGGTGGAAAAAAAAAGTGGGGAAGGCAAGTAAAAAGTTAGTTTTAGTAGTTAATATACTGAGCAAATTTTCTTTTTAGCTCAATCCATTAAGCCATTTTATCCGGATCAAGTAAAAAATAAACAAACATGTATAGTTGTCCGATTAAGTGGGTAACACGATAACCCATTAAGTAAAAAAGAAACAATTACCGTATATATCGTCAAAGTTACAGTGAACTATAATAACTAATCTTTATGCTTTTCAATTGAGTTTTAACTTTAAAATCTAAAACTAATAGTATTAAGTTTTAAATATGTGCATTGTAATATTGTATACAACCTAATACATATGTTTGAGATTTATTTTCTATGTTTAATTTAAAATACAAATTTAGGAACCGAATGAAGTGAAGTATCCCAAAACTTGAGGGGAGGTACTAGATATATGTATCCATTTTATAAGGCCCATAAAAGGACATGGGTTCTCACTTGTGAAAGTAGATGTATATGTAACTTGTGTGATTAGTCATACAACAAAATGGTAATGGATGCTTAATGAAATCTTATTTGAGGTATTAATCAAAGATTAATTAGGCTAATCTTTTGACGAAGACAAATATAAGCCATGACACGATACACGAGACCCATTCCTAGCAGTATCCAAACTTCTTTCCAGCCTCCTTTTAAGTTGACTGTGTCAAAAGAGGGTGAAGTTTGCAGTGACTTGCATCCCCCGATGCTTTCACACTCGTATAAATCATCACCCGAGTACTGTACTTTCATTAGCAGCCTGAATCCGTGGTACATGAATGATATGTACTTCATCCATTGCATAAATTTTGGTATATGCTGCAACAAAACCACATATATATATATATTAACACAAAATGACCTTTATGCCCTCCCTTCATCTCTTTATCAAGGCTATTTTATTATTTTAAGTCCATACCTGAACATAGTAACCGCCTGTTAGAAGAAACAACATGAGTATTAAAGAAGCAACCATTCCTGCCCTTCTAATGCTCATCACTGCAGCTCCAAACATTTCTCCTGCACCCTACTCAGATTATTAAAAAAAAAAAAAGATCCATTTAGGGCATCACAAAATCCTATTTTTTACACAAGATGTAGTGTTTGTGAGCAGTAAAACATCAAATATCGTATGCTTTTATACTATTTACTTGAAAGTTACTTTTCTGCAATTTGTTGCTTAACTTCAAATTTCATGCATTTTAGTTTATTATTTGTAAAGTGTATTTGTTGATAAAATATATTAAATTCAATTATTATGTTTCAAACTAATTTAAAGAAAAACTAATATGGGTAATTCAAAACATAATACTAATTTAAATAAAATACATAATGGTATCGTCAATAGCAGCTTTTTCATTTTTTTTTTTTTGAAAAAGCTTCTCACCTATTGTGAGAGCTTTTTCAACCATCGCTTACTCAATAGAACTTGTAAAATTACAAGCCTCGTAAGTTGCAAGCTCTTGTTAAAAGCTTTAAAATAGACCAACCTAAAAAAAACAATAACATGGTACAAATCAATTATTGTGGATATATTTTGATGAGAAAGCTCAACTATTGTTGAGATACATTGAGTTGGCACTTAGATATCATAGAAAAGCTATACTATTGTGGATGCTCTTAAGTCTTATCACTGAAAATCTATATGATTTAGAAAAAACTGAATTGTTATTAAAAATTGTGTAAAGGATTGGAAATGGCTGTATATTTTAGATTTAAACTTACTTGGCTTGTTATGGCTATTAATAAGACGGCTGCCAATGTCATGAAGAAGCATTGCAGGGTTTTCTTGAATCCAACCATGAAATAAAGAATGGACATGAAAACAGTTGGGTAAGTAACGTGAGCGATCATGTCACACAAAGTGCTGCACGCATAGTAGGCGCTCAGCCTATACATATCAGCCTTTCTTTCTTTCACCAGAAAGAACTTCTCAAATGGGAACACATACACCGCTCCAAATATCGATGAAGATGTCCAGAAAATGCACACATAGAACAACAACCCAATCTGCATACAACAGTTAAAAAGGGAAATGTGGCTTCTTTTTGAGTAAATTACATTTTTCTTCTTTTGTGCTATTTTTTGGGATCAAAAGTAGTCATTACAAAAACCTCAAATAAAGACAAAAATTACAAGAAAAATACCAAAAATGTAATTTACTCTTTTTTAACTGACCTGATCTCTAAGGTGAGCCTCGGTGGCAAAGCTAGATTTCCACCATAGAAGCCCTAACAAGACTGCAACTCCAAGAGATTGAACTATTCTTAGCATATCAAAGTAATCTCTCCACCTTTCTCTGTATGTTCTCTTGAACAATATCAAAAACTGATCCCACCAACTTATCGTCCAATCTTTCTTCACTTGAATCGCTAATCTAAGATGTTCTGGTGCCTTCCCTGTTCTATGATTTGCTTCTTTCTCTTTCGTCTCCAGTTCACTTTTATACCTGTTTTGAACATACTACTTGCAAAAAACTATTTGGTAAGTTATATTTTTGCTTGGTCCCACTTTTCAAAGTAAAATGACTACATTTTTTACACAAAAATTGCAAAACTCCGAGGAATAAAAATAGTCACTGTATTCGGAAAAGACACAAAACGTTACAAGAACACAATTACAAGCAAAAACATTAGGGACCAAAAATTGAAAAGATCAGCTGTACTCGGGGACCAAGAACGTAATTTAGTCGAAAAATAGGTCTTACTTTGATGACGGCCTTCTCGTATTCACTAGTGCCTTTAGGAGTCACGATATCGTCAGGGGCAGTAATGTCATTTACTTGACCGGTTGCTAGATCTAGCAAAAACTCCGCGGGGTTCATGGGTATATCGGGGATGAACCTTAGAGATGAAAAATAGCTCATTGATTCTCTTGCCTTTCCATAGTACATAGGATGGCCTTCTGATATCAATAAGATTTTGTCAAACATGTGAAACATTTTACTTGATGGTTGGTGGATTGTTGTGATGATTGTCCTCCCTGCCTGAAGATGCCATTAACAAAATTTTCAATATTAGAAAAAATTTCATTTTTCCTTCTAGAGTATAACTAATTTTTTCAATGTCGGTCCCTAAAAGTTTTTTCTTGCAATTTTGGCCTTGAGGTTTTTGGTCACTTTTTCAAGTAAAATGACTCTTTTGGACTATAATTGCAAAAATCAAATACCAAGAAGCTCAAATAAGCCTAAAATTGCAAGAAAAATCTTTTTGGGACCATGAATGTATATTACTAAAATATATGTTAGTAGTAGTTTAGTCCATCCATATCAAATTATAAATGCAATGTCACTTATCTTTTAAACATGCCATGTCAGCTTTTATAATTACTTCTACGTCAATGAAATATCACTCATCTTTTAAAAATGGTCCCCACTGTCATATCAACGATTACTTTATATTTTTCAACATATATCTTAAATATTAAACATTAATAGTTAATCAATAATAAATAAATATAAATTTAATTATTTATAATTAGAATAATATATTTTAATTATAAAATAATAATTTTACATAATTATGCATGTTTATCATATTTACAGTTAATTTTTCTTTTTATCCCTATTGATCGTGATTAATATTTATATAATTGAATATGTTAATGAAATTTAAAGCAAAAAAAGTGTAATATTAACTTTTCTTTTTATAGCCTTGATCTGTTAATTGTGTTTGAAAATGAAAAAAAAAATGCAATCATTGTTAATTGTGTTTGAAAGGCTTTCAAATATAGAAAGATCAATCCAACGTCTCTTGCATTAAATTGAAATGTGGCATTGCAATTGAATTTGAAAGAAGCCATATGGAGGCTCTTAGTACCTTGGCATTTTCTCTGAGAATCTGTATAAGTTTATTTGCTGATGTTGAATCAAGGCCTGAAGTTGGTTCATCAAGCAACAAAAGTGAAGGATCAACGAGGATCTCGTATCCTATGCTCGTACGTTTCCTTTCACCCCCCGAAATGCCACTAATAAATCCTCCTCCTACTCGTGTCTTACGACATCTTTTATTCATTTTTCAGATGATAACAAAATTAACTAGTATGGAAAACATTAATATGTATATGTATATTCCTTCCATTTTTATTTTTTCATAATCGCTGGTATAATTTATATAATTGGAAGTATAAACCAACCTTTCAAGTCCTAATTCCTTAAGAATCACCTCCACTCTTTCGTATTTCTGCCTTTGGCTCATGCTGCCCGAAAGTCTTAAAAATGCAGCGAAAATCAAAGTTTCCTCCACTGTTAATTGCGGGTAGAGCACGTCATCTTGTGTCACAAATCCAATCCTGTATATAAACTCGGCAAACATATATCAAAATTTTAATTTTCTTCTTCAATGGAGTTATTATATTGGGTATAGCTAAAAGCCTAATAAGCAGTCTAAGATTATCTTCATTTCATTCATTCATTGATGACCAATGCTGTAGTTTGCCGATAAGATAAAATTAATTCTTTAATAAAAAGAAAATATAACAAATTTTTGCAATCTCAATTCTCAAATCAAACCAAATAAGTGAACCCATCTCACAATTGATCATGCACTTATTTCAACTTTATAAATTATGAATTAGGCTTATTTTTTTTTTTAAAAGCACAAAAAAAAAGGTACCAAAATTCAGATTTTTTTTTTCTGTACAAATAGACACGACTATAATTTTGTATTTTATTTCAACTTTTTCTCATATTTAAAAAAATTGATTTAGTTTGTTTTGAAATAACATATTTTTTGTATAATAAAAATTAATTATAGACAATATTTAGAGTAAATTACATTTATGATTCCCAAGTATAGATGATTTTTTCAATTTTGGTTCCAAAAAACTTTTCTTACAATGTTTGTCCTTGCAAGAAATGACTCATTTTTTTTTTACCAAAGTTGGAAAAATTAGTTACACCCAAGGACAAAAATAGTCAATTACTTGGATCGTAGACAAAAATAAGAACTAAAATGGTAATAGAAAATTTTTTGAAACTAAAATTGTAAAAACCAATTATACTACAAAAAATGTAAATTTGTTTGGATTAGATTAGGTCGTTAAGGCGTTAACGAACTATAAAATATTTGATTTAGTTGATTGTGGATGTGGGAAAATATATATTTCTTATTTAAAAAAAAAAAAAAAAAACTACGTAGAATAAGGGGGTGTTTGGGTTATCTTTTGAAAGGCCAAAATGACTTTTGGGAAAAGTTACAAAAAGATAGGTTTTCCTGACTTTTCCAAAAAGTCAGTTTTCCTTCTATGAAAAATCCAAAAGGAGCTTTTATCAAGCATCTTTTCTCTGCTATCTTTATCTAAAAGGACTTTTAGTCTCTCAAAAGATAAGTCAAACACCCCGATAGTGAATAATAGGGTAACACCTTCTTTTAAGAGCTGGGCTGTAGGGAACATCATTATAAGTGACAGTTCCCTTGACGTTTTCACCTAATCTCCCGCCTATCACCTTCAACAGCGTTGTTTTTCCACTACCGGAAGGACCCATCAAAGCAAGGATTTCACCGGGGCCAAGGCTTCCGGTTATGCCTTTCAATATCTGCTTATAATTGTTGTCTTCTTCACTCTTCCCCTGCAAAACCACCTTCGACATCACCGCCTTCACTGGATTCCCCGGTGTCGCCTTGCTCACTTTCACCTTAAACTCTATATCTTCAAACTGCATTCAAAATAACAACCACCTTCACATATCTGATCATAACAAATTACAAGTGTTAGTGTTAGAGAAGTTCACTGAAGCATTTCGTGGAACACCTTTAGGAAAATGGGAAGTGGACGATCTTTGATAGGGAAGGCGTCATCTTGGATATCGATCTGAGAGCTTGATCTGTTTCTAAGGTAAGTCTGAGCAGCCATTAAATCCAAGTTATGAACAAACCCATTGTTGCCTGTTATGTGCATGGGACCCACTGGAGGAGGAGATAAAGATGACAAATCCTCGATTTCATCTTGGCTCCCGGAATCCATGATAGGATTATGCAACCGAGTTTCTTCTTTAATTAATGGGGTTTGTACACCTAAATTCTTTCAACTAAAAACATAACAAGATCAATCCTATATAGTCTCTTCGATTTCGCTGTTGAACAGCATGTCAACAATTTTTAGCTGCAAAAAGATTTGCAAATTTGTAGTTGTAACACACCCTTGGCGCACCAATCTGACCAACTACACTTAAACTTCATCATGTCAAGAACATGATCTTCACAAATGTAATTTTTTTTTTTTGCAAAATGGAGGGAAATAACATAGTAGGTAAAGTACTTTATTTTGTAGGGTTAATTTTATAAACGGCTAACAAATTATTTTTGTCCAAAAAAACATATCAAAGTTCGTTTATGACTTTAACCTTGTTTTATCTATTACTCTAATTTTTGTCAATATAGACATTTTGATAATAGCAATATGTAACATGAAACTTGTGAAATCTTTTAGTATGGTTGATTACATAATGCTATTAACGCTATAGAAAATTAAGTTTGCTATTATGAATAAATAAATGTAATTATGTTGATGTTATGAGTATATATATATATATATATATATATATATATATATATATATATATATATATATATATATTATTGTTAATATGTGTAAGAAATAAAGTACGTTTTGTAAGTTTCATTTGCATATTGTGATCATTTGAAGACCCTCACCCTCAAACGTGTCAAGAACTCAATATTTTTTTTTCGCCCAAAAAAAAAAGTAGGAGAAAAAGTAGAGGGGTTAGAGTTGACAATATTGAATCGTAAAAACAATGTAGTTGGGTAAATAGGTAAGAATAAGTCAATAACATAGAGTGATGATGGAAACAAGATGATTCCTGGATTGTTGAGTGTGTAATCGTAATCTGCCTCTAAGAGAGTGGAGAGATATGGAAGAATCGCAAGAGATTTTGTTGAACTCGCTGGCGAACGCTGGGGTTGCGATTCCGCGGGAGGCTTTGTCAGTTGGAGATCTAACACCGGAAGCGTTGGTGTCGATCTGTGCTCATTCTCTTCGTATAATTTCGAGCTCGGAATCCTTTCCGATCACTTTGCCGGATTCTATGGTCGATCGTTTTAAAATCTGCACCGATCTTGCCTCATCCGTCAAAGACCTAGGTTACATCGGCGACATGAGCTTCCATAAGGTACTATTCTATTCTCTTATTCATCCTCTCAGCAGCTAACTATAAGCTCATCTGTTTTATATTGATCTTTGACTTTTTTTACTGGATGCATTTTAAATACTCGTTTTTTTTCTCTCTCTTATTCATTGTTGTGTTGGATCTATTCAATGTTTTACGTACTAATTCAAGTTTTGTGAGTGGTTCCGTTTGAAAGAGATCCCTAGAGGCAGTATCCCTATTTTTTTCCCTTGTGACTTGTGAGAAAAATTTTACAAATTATATTTTGACGTCGACTTCAAAATTAATATACAATGCCAAGAAATTCATAGTTAACTGCTCATTAGAACTAGTCAACGACTTCCAGAAAATTCTAGAATTAATTTGTGACAAAATTCATATCAATTTGCATCATAGAAGTTGATAGTGTTATCCTAAAGGTGAAAGTGAAAATGTACCTCCCTTTTAAGATTCAGTGTAATAGTTCAATCATTGGTGTCGTGACTATAATATACATGTACCCTTACTATATATGATATATGATTCTGTTATCATGTGAATGAAAAAACAAAGAAGTTAATTGTTTATTTTCATATCATGTAGCATTACAATATATGATTTGTGATTCTGTAAACCATGTGCCTGTTGATACTATAGATAGAAACGCCCAAATTTGAGTATGGATGTATGCTCATATGGTTTTCTAGTTTATAATGATGTTATTAATGAAAGTAGATAAGTATATTATATAATTATTGTTCTGAAATATTCTTAGAAAGAGAATATATCTCTTGCTTACGGCAGTTCCTGTATCCATCCGAAGAAGACATGTATAGGTTGATAAGATTTTTGGTTGGGAAGCTCTCTGAATCATCTACAACTGCAGTATTATTAAACACAAAGGATAATAATGCAAAAGCAATGATAAATGATGAAAAATCAGAAAGATCATCCAATGATGAGGAACAAGATTTGCATACCAAATTCGAAGGTGTAAAACTGAGAACTGAAGAAGCGGTGTCAAATTCAATTCAGTATCCTGAAGAAGATTTTGGAGCTCATGATTTGTTGAAAGCAGCAGTGGAAATGGCTTGTGATGAACAACACATCGATTCACACATTACACAGCTAAATGAGCAAATAGACGCAAGGAAAAACAATCTTGCAAAACTGGAGTCAAAATGGTAACAGAAAAACACTCTTGTTTCTCATGATGATCTTTATTTTATTATAATAGAGTGTTGATCTACTACAGGAAAGGCATCATAAAGCCTTTAGAAGATATAAAAAGAAATCTTGAAGAAGCTCTATGTGCAAATCAGCCAGAGTCTCAAGACCTGGAGTCCATATTGTTTGAAACAAAGCAGAGGTATAGCTGATTTTATTATTATTATTTTTTTTTTTTTCAATTTTGGTCCCAAAAAGTTCTTGTACAATTTTGTTCCTTATTTGAGATTCTTGTAATGTTTTTGGTACCTATTCCAACTCAAATTACTAATTTTAGTCCCTGGATATAGTTTTTTTTTTCCCCATTTTGGTTCCAAAAAGTTCTCTTGAAAATTTGGTGCTTAATTGAGGTTATTGTATCCTTCATTTTATTGCTGTTCCAAGTAATATTACTATTGTGGTGCCTGTGTATTGCTGATTTTTTTCAATTTTGGACCCTATTATATAATTTTACTTGGAATAATGCACAAAAACCTCAAATTAGGACCAAAATTGGAAAGCAAACTTTCTGTGACCAAAATTGAAAAAACAAGCTATCTTCAGGGACCAAAAATGTAATTTACTAATATTGTTGTAACTTGTAACTCAGGGAAGAGGAAATTTCCAAGGTGTCAAGAGAAGTTGAGAAAGTAGCGAAATTGGCAACAAGGAGATCTTACATTGAACGGATAAAAGAGATCACCAAAAATAGCAGGAAACAGGAGATCGACATAGAACGTATCTTAAAAGAGACCCGAGAGCTTCAGTTAGAAAGTAACATCATTCAAGAACGCCTGCATCGAACTTACGCTGTGGTGGATGAAACACTACTCAGGTAATCATATGTTATAAACTTATTATTAATTAATTATTATATTAAATTAGATTTTTGGTCCCTGAGTATTGTCAAATTTCCAACTTTTGTCCTAAAAAGTTTCTTCTTGCAAGCCTGGTACTTATTTGAGGTTTTTTTTTGAGTAAATTACACGAATGGTCCCTATAGTTTACGTTAATTTGCATGTTTGGTCCCTAACTTAGGTGTTGTTTGTTTTTTCGAAGCGAAAATTCATGAAGTCTGCGGACCACCTCTGCAATCCTCTGCAGCAGAAGAGGTGGAACAAACGGCTGCAGCCCATAATAAGAAGCATGTTTGTTTTTTAACATCTGCAGACTGCTGCAGTAAACTGAAATTTAAATAAACTAATTTTATAAACTTAAAATAGTTCTCAACACCGAAATTTTAATAATTCTAGTCTTAAAACATTGAAAGAGTACTAAAAATAACATTTAAAAAAACAAAAATATAAAACTTTTTTAAAAAAAAAACTTACAAAAATATAAAAGAAGCTAACAGCTTTATTCTAGAAAAAAAAAAACTAATTTTAAAAAACATAAAAAAGAAAATAATAAAAAAAATTAAGAAAGTATTACAAATGATGTGTACAAAGTTCGTAAAAAATTACACACGTTAAAAAAAGATGAAACTGAAACTGAAACTGAAAATATTATTAACGGAAACGGTAAAAAAATTAAAGTTATACCAAAATTCTAAAAAAAACTTCAAAAAATTGAAAGCTGAAGAGGTTTGAAGAGGCAAGTCAAGTGTCGCGCCACGCAGCACACGCGCAGAGGTTTTGCAGTCTGAAGTCTTCCAAAAAACAAACTGCTGCGAGAGGGAAAGTGTTGCGTGTGTGCTGCGTCGCGCAGCAGAAAGTGGTTTGAAGAAGTTTTTCTAAAAAAACAAACAGCACCTTATTTTTTTAACTCGGAGGGTCCCTACTGCTGTTTGTTTTTGTTACGCGTTTGGTCTCTGTCTTATCTAAAAAGACTATTTTTCCCTTGATTTTTTAATTTATTTAAATAAACATACCCCAACCCCACCCCCTTCACCTTACCTTACATACTCCACCATTTTTTTCTTATTTAAATAATAGTCTTTTTAGGTAAGACATGGACCCGACGCGTAACAAAAACAAATAGTAGGGACCAATCGGGTAACAAAAACAAATAACAGGGACCTTCCGAGTTAGAAAAATAAATTAGGGACCAAACGTGCAAATTACCCCAAACCATGGGGACCATTCGTGTAATTTACTCTTTTTTTAAAACGTTTTTGGTCCCTATTTCAAGTATAATGACTATTTTTGGGACCAAAATTGAAAATATCAGCTATACTCAGGAACCAAAAGTAATCATTTTACTTTTAACATGGAACAAAAATGTACAAGAACCTCATATAAAGACCAAAATTGCAAGAGAAAACTTTTTACTGATATGAATATGGAAAGTGAAATGTATGTAGTATTGATTGTCCGTTTTGTTTTGTAGGGAAGCAAAGAAGGATCAAGTGGGGGAACAAGCACACATTTTGGTGACAGGTATCCATGAGAGTTTTGAAGAAATATCTGAAAAGATCCTTGCAACTGACAGAGCTCGTAGAGAAATGACAGACCTTGAAACTAAGCTTTCAAGTATTGCTACACGAACTTTAAATATCGACAAACTACAGGCAGATCTTGATGCCATAAGGAAAGAAAACGACTACCTTCAATCTCTCCCCCTCGCTTGAGTAGTAATCTTAAATCTTCAAACCTCCTTAATCTACTTTTCTCAACACTATTCTCATCAATTCTATATCACTTTAGTTCTATATCACTTTAGTTTCCTTTCTGGTACCCCATTTATTGCCTTTTTCAACTACTATTCATGATATAGATGCAAAAGTTACACATTCAACCTTGCTTTAAAGAATAACATATAATCAAAATGATGAAGAGCTTTGTAAATTCACAAGCAAACTTATATGATGACAATAGTTATTTGACCCAAAAACTCTCCAATAAGCTCCAATTGTCGTCATCTATTTCTGTCTATTTCACCCCAAGGATTTCCCACTTTTTAGGGAAATCAGTTGGAATTTATAATTTTGTGTGCTTAAATAATGTAACAATGTTTCATCTTTTGTACAATTTATGCACCAATCAATTATCTCATGTTGATTCCAAGAACCAACCATATGTTTTATTAATCTTTGAACAACTCGTCTC